TGGGGACTGGACCACCTACGTTCTGGTACCGACGAATTTGCTGACACAAATGCTGTAGATATCGAAGAACCCCGGATCCACATTAAATAAAATGTTTCGTCCAGATGAGACACACTTGTGCAGAAGTTGTGAACAGAGAACAGGTACAGTGAAACAATGTGCCCTTCCACGGCACACCAAGGTAGCGGTACATATGAAACTCGGCGCACAGGTACACCAAGAATCCGCGATAAATCACCACAATTGGCAACAACCTCAATAGGAGTAACCCGGACACGCATTTTTCTCTAAGGAGATGGGTGAACAAGAAACACTTTGTGTTCCGGACGAACAAACCAAATTCGAACGCAGGTGTCAACACTGATGGGCGGTATATGTTAACAGCTCAACAACGTAGACAAAAGGTGCGACATTTGGTCAATATTTCAGTTACACACGAATACATCCTCACGGCATCGTTGTAACAACTTACATTGCTACAAAACGCTGGTATGAAACTGAAAATATACAAAGTCTGGAACAGCCGACACTTCGAGCGGTGGATGCGAACCCAACGTCAACCACTCTTTAACTACGTAAATAAATTTAGTAGTTTATAATCAATTGTTAATATTTCGATGTCAATGACTGATGCTTCGCAACTAAGCGTCAAAACGCAAGCAATTCTGAGGAACACTTTCTGCGTGATTTGACCATTCTTCATGAGTGTGACAAATTATACAGTTAATCACGAAACGACGAACTTGCAGAACAGTAACATGTATAGGTTGGTATGCCGCGAACGCCAACAGTTAGGTTGACCGTATGATGTAAATACGTGAAGCGACCAAAATAAAAAGGGACAGGCACCAAAAACTTGAAGAAAAAATATCAAATTACTTACCAAGATCTTGGATGCATCATGCATTTATAAGAGACGCATTTGTTTAGCCTATTTTTGCTTACGATTACGTTGTGGTCCTACTCATGAATATATTGATTGAGAATTTCATTTGTGAGCATTAGAAAATCCTAACAATAAGTCATAAAGACCTTGCTTTATTGAAGTTCCAAGCAACCTAACGATAAGCAGGGAGTCACGTAGTGATGCACAAGACCGATGCGTATGCTCAAGTTCCCTTCTTGACGTTCGGCATCATTGGTTCACTTGAAAGGCACCAACTCTGTAAGTTCACAGAATTGAGCAGTAAGCTTGTCAGTGTGAAGAGTCGAATAAGAAAGCATGTAAAAGTGCAGCGCCAAGTACCCTAAACGAGGATATCCGATAAAAGTGCACACTCTAAAATTGAAAAGTTTACAGTGATCGGAACTTTAGTATTTGATCAACCATGCACACATAAGGCAATGGAGGGAGGAGGAGACCAAGGATTATGATATGACTTAGTGGTCAACGGATTCGAGCCCGATCGCCAATTTTGTTGAAGCTCGTTTAGAACGCTCAATGAGGATAACTCCTTTTGGTGTGCTGAGGAGAAAAAGTAATTGGCGTATTCAACCGGTCTGACTCAGTCGCCGCAGTGCCCGACAGTATATGCAATTAATAAGATGGAAAGTATGCCAGATAATCCGGAGTATACTGAATACCTTTTTAGCTGATCTTTTGTGCAGTGAGAAGAGCATACTTGGAGACAGCCAGATATCTAGGGCCTTCTCGATATCCAGCTTCTTGACATCGCCTATCTATTTCACCGTGCTCGACAAACGGGTTTATCTCATCCCTTTCGAAGGACACAGGTCTCATCATTCAGAGGAAGGTGTCAGTCACAGTACCACTGTTTCACAGCGTCTATATAGACTTGAAGTGCACTGGTGTGCAAAGAGTTGTTGCGCAGTTGAGAGCGTCTTCGGAGGGTGTAGATCGGAAAGAGAAATGGTCCTGCGACGGAGGTGTGGGGAATTCCTATGGAGATTGCTGTATAATAAGAGTGGGTTGATCGGACTTTCACTCGGATCGTTTTACTCGAGTAGAGAGTCCGAATATTTGTAGAGTTTGTCGTGGAGTCCATTAGGCCTCAAGTGTGTGGAGCAGTGAAACGATTGGAACTCGATCGAATTCTAATGAGAAATCGAAAAACATGTCGCTCAATATGAATCCATCATCCTTGGCTTGTGTCAATAAACATGAGCATATTGGCCATCTATGAACGGTTTGAGGGAGTCCCTGTTGCACCTGGGACATCAAGTTGTTGATAGTGAGATGTTTTAAAGTGAACTCTTTCAGAACGCGTCTTACAATACTGCACATTATGCTGGTGGTGCTTATAGGCCTCTAGCTCGCGGGCGATACGCATCACAAGCACTTCCCTTCAGGCAGAAGAACGTTGAGCTTGTGTAGCGACTGACGAAACATCAGCCAGAGCGATTTGGACAAGATGAGCAATAATTCTCTTGAGACACGCGGAAATACTTCATGTGGCTCCCACGCGCTGGAGGTTTGTCTTGGGCGAAATTTCACGAACATTTTCTTCTACAAGGATAAACATAGCTAGAGGATATTTGTAGTCCCGCCGAGCAAAAGATGAATGTGATGAAGAAGGTGGAGCAGAACACAAGCACAGTGTTATATGTGGGCTTTGGGTACCACTATTGAGTCGCTCGTGGACTCTGTCTCTGGCCTTTAAGGAAAGGAATTTGATCTGTTTGGCGTTGTCGGATGAAATCCACTATTACAGGTTTTGTTCTTCCATGGTCCGCTTTCAGCTTGTAGATCTCCGAACCACTTAGCTTCAGCATTTTGAAGAGAAACACAAAATTCTCTCGTGTGGATCTTGTTTGCAGAAGACACAAAAACCTCCGGGACAGAGTTCGATTCTTTGGGATGAACATTGCATTAGCCTTCTGAATTTTCCGAACGATGGTCCCGTAATTCTCCCTGACTGGAGCTGGAAACAGTTAAAGCTGGTTAATGAAAATAAGCATTCCACCTAAATCCGCGCGGCAGTAGCTTCGAATGAACGTTTGAGGTTCAGAGTTTCTGGCAGCGTACAATGGTCAATTAGTACAGGAAAGCCTCAATTATCGATTGATTGACGAAGTATCTTTCAACTGTAGTAACCAGATACATTGAAGGTGGTAGTTGGCCATCGCGATATATCGTGAAACATCGACATGCCGAATTCAGTCTCTGTGTTGCAGAACCTGAGTCAGCGCCGACACAAAACAACTACCAGAGCTGATGTGCTAGAATTACATTTGGCAGGCCTTTAGAACATTAAATTCACATACCACCAAGAGAAGGGTAAGATGGTAACTGCCGGTGCGGCGAAGCGCATGACAAGGAACAGGATCACTTCGTTACATTTGGCAGGCCTTTAGAACATTAAAGTCACCCACCACCAAAAGAAGGGTAAGGTGGTTGCGGCGAAGCGCACGACAAGGAACAGGATCAGTTCATTAAGTTCGACCGAAAAACACCTCTATCTGTGGAACGAGTGCAACACTCAATCCTGCGGAATAATCAGCAAGAATCCTGATTTTCCTAC